ACTTTGAAGAGAGTTTTGCGAGGGTGTAGTAGTCTGGGCTGGAATGTGTTTTCATAGAGGACTTGAAGTACTCTGCTCCATGCTCTTCTTGCCTTCATGCTTTGTGAAGCGAAGTCAGGCGTAATTCTGATGGCTTTTCCTTTGAATGTGATATCTTCTTTTCTCTAGCAGCTTTCAGTATGTTATTGTTGTTTTTCTTTTTCTTTTTTTAGTGTATTTTTTTTTCAACAAATATTACACTGCATATATTCTTCTTAGTGGTTAATTGCTGTACAAGATGCGGACTTGTGATCCTATTTACAAACACCATTAGAACAAATCATTCTATTCCTTAAGAGAATGCAACTATATATCTATCCCAACCACTTTGAATACACAGATACAAAATGGACATTCATAGGCATGCCCCATTTTTTCTAAGTTCCGTTATTGAATATTATAGGTGTGTAAACTCAGCAAAATATTCTAAAAGAGTCCAGTAGCCCATAATAGCATTGGGTCTTCTGTTTAACTGGCAATGTCAGAAATTATTGACCTGAGTCCCCTGCAGCTCAACTTAACAGCATGGCTTTATTTCCTATATTTCGTCTTTATACTTTTCTACTGGATGGTTAAGAGCAAGGTAAAGCAGGACCTATGCAACAAGAGTTGTAGATTTTTGGTCTGAGAAGGTTAGTGAAATGCCCTCAGGATTTATCCTGAGATCCTGTACCTCAGATTGTAGAACCTTTGTCAGTGCAGCCATGTGGATGAGTCACGGCCATTGCTTGGCCAATGTGCTCTCTGTGAAAGCCTGAGAGAGTGTCTTCTCCCCATGTGACTCTCCTTAGGCACACTCTACGTCATCGATCACTTTCCTCTTTGGCCCCATAATCTTCTTGATCAGAAAATTTGGGACACTACCGAGGTACATGATGTTACAGTACAAGTTCTCATATGTCCTGAATCTTAATTGACCTTAGAAGATTAGCGCCAAATTTTTAGTGTATTATTCTTGAGCTGAATTTCTGGTATCTTGGCTGTTATATGTCTCAGTGTGTTTTTAATTAAGTTGAGGTTTCTTGGCATTCTGTATGCTTTGGCTACCTGAATGTCAGATTATTTACTCATATTTGGAAAGTTTCTGCTATTACTTCTGCCCATATTTTTAAAATGTCCTTTATATTGAGTCCTTCTTTCTCATTGATGCCTATTAGTCTCACATTGTTCATGTTTGCATCGTCTTGCAAGTGATGAATTATTTTTTCTGCATCCTAGTTGTTTTTAAGAGATCTTTTCTTACCTTTTCACTAGCTGCACCAGTGTCTTCTCTGTCTTCACTTTCACTCAAACGGTTTTGTAAGCTTGTGATTGAGATTTTAAGTTCCTCTATGTCTCTTTGACTCTGCTTCTTGTGATCTGTTTCTTTCCTGTATTGCTCATTCAAGGAATCTGTCATTTTTCTAATCTCCTCCATTTTTTTTTATCAGTGTCTCCTTTAGAAGCAGTTATTCTTTTACTGCAGTGTTTTTTTGAGATTGGGTTTCCTCCCTATGTTTCTGTAGTTCGTTCTTTACTTCAGATGCTATGAGTTCAGAGAATTGTTTTTTATTTCAGAAAAGAATTCTGCTCTGAGTTCCTCTATGACTTTCTGCTGTTGCTTATTTACTATCATCGCTTTTAATTTATACAATGGAATTGAGGTAGTAGTAAAGAATTCCACTCTGAGTTCCTCTGTACCTTTCTGCTGTTGCTTATTTATTATCGATGTTATTAATTCATAGATATGAGCTGAGTTAGTGTCCTCTGCACTTGTTCTGGGTGAGCATTTGGGTTTCCTACATGTTTCTGTATTTGATTTTTTACTGTAGATGCTTTCAATTCAGGAATTTCTTTTTTCATTTCCAATCTGAGTTCCCCTATACCTTCCTGCAGTTGTTTCTTTATTTCAGAAGCTGTTGATTCATTGACTTCAGCTATGTCATTCCCAATTTGTTCTGTGTTAGTGTCCTCTGCATTTATTATGGGTGGACTTGGGGTCTAGAGATTGCATTTTGCTTCTTCTCATTGTCATTTTGTGTAGCACTGTCTTCTGACCTTTGTTGTAGAACTTTGGAGCAGTTATAACCTTAGCACCTACTGAAATTCAGGTGCAGATCTACAAAGGTTGGATTTATCTAGCTGTGCCTGGTTTAGGTCTGGATGCTGTGCTCAGCTCCTTCCCTCTGCTGCCCTTGGGAGTGAACCTGGTGTGCCTCTGGCAAGATGTTCTGCTCCTGGACTAGCTGGGTGGTTCTGTCCCATACAGGTCTGGGGTGAAATCCTCTGCAGGGCTTGCAGGTGCACATTTTCAACCCAGGCCTGTATACCTTAACAGCTTTTAATGTTCTGTTCTTCTGAATTTCTTGCATCTTCATTATTTTGTATCTAGGTGTAGATTTATTTTGATTATGTCTAATTGGACTTCTATATGTGTCACTTAAGTATATGTAAGATTCTTTTCTTATGCTTGGGAAATTTTCTACAACTACTTCTACAAATAGTCTTATGTCATTTGTGCCGAGTTCTGCTGTTTAGCTGACACTTATTAGTCTTTTATTGGTTTGCTTTGTATCATCTTGTGGTTGTTAAATGTTATTCCTTGGTTCCTTGTTTTAAGAGATCCTTCTTGTTGTCTTTAAGGTCTGAATGTGTATCTAAAGTTTTATTCCAGTGGTTTTGTCAGTTTTCAGTGTTATTCTTAATTTGCTAAGTATCTCTTTGAGTGTGTTTCATGTGTTTTAATTGTTTCCTATATTGTTTATTCAATATTTCCACCATTTTTCTGTTCTCTATGTTTTTAAAATCTACATCTTATTGAGATGTGCTGAGCAATTGTTTTACAGTTGTGTTTCTTTCTTTCATTTTCTTTTTTGTAGTAGAAGTGATTGAACATAGGGTCTTGCACTTGACAGGCAGTCACTTGTTCAACTGAGTTATCCCCCTGGTGCCATCATTTCTTTTTTGACCTTAGCGATTATTTCTGATCTGCTGTCTTCTGTAGCTTGATGGAGTTCTTTACTTCAGTTGCTATCATTTCAGAAATTGCAGGTGTGTGACTTGCAAGTTCTTCTGTGTCCTTGTCTCCTGGACTTGTTCTCAGGGAGCTGGATGTCTTAGATTGCCTTTTGCTCCTTTATGTTGGCATTTTTGAAGCGTGCAGTGATCATCTGGACTTAGTGGTAGAAGAGGGGTGGGATACAGGACAGTATGCTTCCTGTGATAGTGGGCAGGCAGGGTTGTGGGATACAGGGCAGTATTCTTCCTGTGATAGTGGGTGGGCAGGGTAATACCCACCAAGGCACTCAGGACTGGTGGTGGCAGCTAGCTGAAGCTCTGTGGAGGTGATGAGCATGACCAGACTCACTAGGTTACCATAGCTGTTCAGTGTCTGCCTGCATTCTGAGAGGGTGGGTTTGGCCCCAATAGATCCTCTGTAGTTCTTCACAGGTGATGCGTGTAAACCAGACTTAGTGGGCCTCAAAGCTGCCTAGTGTCCACTTGCCTCCCCAGATGGTGGGATAGCACCAGCATTTCTGCCATGTTTCCTGGTGGTTCATGCAGGCCAGGCTCACCAGGTCCCTGTAGCTGCCCAGTGTATGCCTGTATTCTCAGATGGTAGGACCAGGCCATTTTCTTTTCCTGCCATTTAACATTGTCTTCTTTTCTCTTTTTACTTGAAGACTAAAGTCAGACCAGAGTTGAAAAAAATATATATGATTATGGAATTTATTTTTTTAACAGATTAGTGAGAAGTGAGAGAATATATAATAAAATTATGTTTTCTTATGTCTTTTATTAAATATTTATAATTATTATCTCTTACTTGTCTATTAATGGAAATCCCTACAACATGCATGTTTGGCAATCAGGCCCTGATTCAGTCTAGTACTGAAAACAAAAGAACAAAAACAAAAAGACTAAAGGGCCCAAGAGACAGCTCAGTGGAATAAGCACCTGCCTGGGAAGTGCAGGGTCCTGAGTTCAATCCCCAGTACTGGAAAAAAAACAAAACAAAACAACAAAAAAGACTTCAAATGTCATAGTGAAGGAACACTGTGAAAAATATATTTGAATTCAAGCTAAAAATTTCTAGCATTTAATAATTCTTACTATATAATGCATGTATGGACAAGATCATAAAATACATAAAAAGAACTGAAAAACAAATGTCAAGAGTTGGTTATATCCCAAGAACCGTTACTTAGATCTTGAGAGTTACGTGTATGCACGGAAATAACGTTTGGGAAATAAATTGACTGAGTGAGAAAGCAAGAGAGCAAGGAGAGGTCAGTGTTGCTGGTGAGGAAAGAGAGATTGGACTTCATAAGAAGACGAGGAAGAAGGAAGAGTAAGAAAATTGTTGAGGATTGTTCCAGAAGTTGAAAAATCTCCGTGAAAGGGAATGTGGTTGCTGAGAAAGGAATATATAAGGAGTCTGATTCCAGAGAAGTTATGAAGGAAAGGAAGTTAGAAAAAAAGAGGAACGCCTGCAGGTAACAGTTCTAGGAAGGGCGATGCAGTTAGCTCTCATGTCCTGGACTATCGTCCAGGCCTCCCTTTTAGTTCCTGTATAATTCTTGTAACTTTTGATTTTCTTTGTGCCAGTGTATGATGTGCATTAATTTTATTTGCTAGTGTTTCCCTATTTTCAAAGTCTCACATTAATGATATTAATATTTTACATAAACAAATTCTTTACTGGAAATTTCATATGTCACTTTTGGTGCTAATTGTAGTTTTCCTTTTACAGTGGTAATTATTTTGTAGTAATGGGATTGATGTGATGGTTTTTGGACACAAGGAAGATGACTCACAAATAAAACATTTTTCCACCATAATCATTGAGAAGTTAAAGCAAAGTTTTGACTTCAGAAGTGTGTTTGTGGATGGGCATATACACAGCCATACTCACACACACATATGACTGCATTGAACAGACTGAGTTTTAGAATGAAAACCTGTGCCCTGTTTTTTTCTAGGCCATCCGAAGTTTCCAAGTAGCGCTTCACATCTATCCAATGAATCCTGAAATATGGAAAGAAGACCTTTCTTGGGCAAGAACACTGCAGGAGCAGCAGAAGGTAGCACAGAAGATGAAAAAAAGTGAAGCCCCACCTGAGGAAACGCATGTTTCACCCAAGTCGATTCCCGACTATGACTTTGAAAGTGAGGAGATTGTGGCCGTTTGTGCAGCTATTGCTGAAAAACAGAAGACAGTTTCAGCTAATAAAACAATGGTTATTGTGTCAGCTTCTGGGACGGTGGAGACTGTAACGGAGAAGGAAGAGGGTGCCGCCCCCCCCGACGGCTCTGTATTTATCAAAGCCCGATGAAGCAGTATGCATAGTGGAGTTGAGTCTGTCTTTTTGATTGGTACTTAATGTTTAAACATAGGTACATTTACTGTGGAGAAACGGGGCAGAACTCCTGTTTGTAAAATATGGCTTTCTGATGAGACATAGAAAATTAAACAGTAGGATGGTTGTGTTTGAAATATGCTTTCATAAGTCATGACTTATGCTTAAGATTAGAATTCTTAGTAAAATTGTTTTGACTGATGAACAGATTCATTTATGAATGAATGCATTTTAAAGATACAGCTTGAAAAATATGTTCTTAAGTAGTTAACAACTTGATGGCCAGTAGTTTTAATGTTGATATGCTCACTTTGTTTTCCGATAAAGTATATGATTACTTTTCCTCCTTGAAATCTGCTGCTTGCTCCCAGCCACTCTTTCATTGCTGTTTGTTGCTGACTAAGCGACTAAGTAAGCCAAGTCAAGTCTACACAGTGAATTTCTGACATTCATGTTGATTCAGAGTTGTCATTTGCATATATGTGGAGTCTTGGAAAGCCTGGTTGAAAGCGTGTGAGTTCTGAACACTCTTTTAGTCTCCTTAATTCTAATTTGTGCTTCAGTTTTGACCTTGAAGTTGTAACAGTGGTAGCTCCAGTGTTTGTTAGGTGTGTGAGATGTCAGAATGATGGTTTTCGTTTTACTCCTTGCTGTGTCTGCACCACAAGTGAGTCATGTGTAGGGTTGAGTGTCTTTTACCAATATGTCATAATAAATTGTAATTCTCTATTATCCCAATGAAAAGCAGTATTTTTTTTTTTTTCTCTTACTTTTAGGTGTTTAAAAATCCCTGAAGTTACTTATTTCTTACTTGTAACTTTCTGGCTGATGCTTAAAATTACTTTTTGAGATAATTTTTTTTTTAAAAACTATTCAGTTACAATTGTAAAGAGCTAAATTATATTCTAAAAATAAGAAGGGATGTTCTTATTAGAGTGCCACTGAGTAACTTAAGCAAAACATACATAGAAACTGGAATATCATTTGTGGTATAATCCCATGACTGTGAAAGACCTATTAAATAGTTTATTTAAAGGCCACAGTCACCTTCATAAAATGCTCTCATTGATAATGTGAATTATTTTTATATTATATATTGTAGTATAACTGTATGAGACTGTTGTGCACTGTTGTTTCTGAAAGCCAGGAAGATGTTATTGATATAAATTAATTTTATTAGAAATGAAAGCTACTTTGTGTTAAGGAACCTTACCTAACACTGCTGGAGCATGTAAATAATGGCCTATATTTTTGTGAGGATAATTTCTTAAAATCTTGTTTCAATAGAATGCTTATTTCCACACAAGAAAATCAACACTTGCCTTAAAAAAAAAAAAAAAAGGGTTGTATTTCCCCCCTAAGTTACATCATCAGAAAATTATCCTGGGTCGACAGGTCAATTTTAAAGTGATAAAAATGCTATTTTATTTTGTTCTGTAAGGGATATACTCAAAGGATGGGGGTAGGTATCTAGAGATGCTTTAGTATGCTGGGTGTTTTGTTTTATTTGTTAAGACAGGGTCTTGCTTTGTAGCCCAGGCTAGCTTCAAACTCACTGCAATCCTCCTTTCTCAGTCTCCCAGGTACTGAGCAATGTGCTGTTTTGTGTAATAAATATTTGTGTATTGTGTAATTTGTGAATAAATAGGTTTTTTCCTCCATTTTATACTTTCCTATTGTTTTGTATTAGCTCTTGAAAAATTAGGTTGATTTACTTAATTTCTTGTTTTGTGAAAGTAATATAGATTAAGTATCTTGAATGATTCCTAAAGCATGAAATGCTCAGTAAATGCTAGCTCTGTGAAGAACTTGGATTTGTTGTAGATATGTAGCTTTACTTTCTTCTGACTTTTAAGAAAGGTAAACTTCATTATTTTTTCTTTATATAAAAGTGAGAAATTAGGAGCCAGAGAGATGGCTCAGTAGAATTAGCACTTCCCTGGCAAGTGCAAGGGCCTGAGTTGAATCCCAGGTTCTGCCCCCCCCCCCCCCCCAAAAATGAGAAGTCACTCCTTATATTGTAGGGCAGATGTTTATCAGTTGGAGATTCTTGTCATAGTGGTCTGTGCTTCAACTTACAAAGAGGCAAGACTCAGTGTGGAGTGCATGTAACCACTGGGTTCTTAACCTATCGCTCCTACTGTATTGGCAGTGGTAGGCCAGTTGGTCTCCTTTTTATCTAGGTGTAAGATATAAAGGAGTTGAGACATACGGTGTAGGAGAGGTGGAAGTGCCATCATGGCTGCCGCAGGGGAAGCAGTGAGACTGGAAAGCTGGAGTCCGCCCACCTGAATGTTAGGGTCCTCCCAAATGGGGGTGACAGGAAAATCTGGATTCAGGAAGGCAGGAAAGAATCCTCTTGGATTCAAAGCTAGTATCAAAGGACTTAGGAAGGGAAGCTGGACTGCATAGGACCACATCACCCTTTCTGGCCCAGGTCCAATGTGCACGCCATCTTTGCAGGGCTCTAGTGCCCTGTGGCAAGGAGCTTGCATGAAAGTGTAGGCCAGAACACTGAAAAACGTGTGTGCACACATGCACACAGCCCTGGGAGAACACAGCAAGTGAGATGTTTGCAGGCCAGGGCATCAGAGAAACTGAACGCTTGGGTAAGGGTGTTTCAGAGGGCATGGCAGGCCTCTGGGGAAGCTGAAGGCAGGCCCATGGCCCTAACTAGGGAGGTATTTCATTTTGAGCACCAAGAAGACTGTACATGGTTCAGGGGCTAGGCAAAGGGCAAGTTTCTGAGGGAAAGAGGGAGTCAAATAGGCCCCAGAACAGAACCTCTCCTGTTGTTCCTGCAGATACAGGCAGTGTGTGTGCCATGACACATCCTGAGCATCACTTTGAGCTCATCAGACACCCGCCTGTGCCCGGGCTGCTGATGGCAGTGTGGCCTGAGGAAGGTGGAGAGCTGAGAGTGGCATCCTAGCAGCTTTTAGCAGCGTGCTTGCGAGAAGGCTTGGGAGAGAATACAGATAGCAGCAGGATTTGTCTAGCAGGAAAGGAGCAGGAACAAGAGAGACCTGGGGGAAAACAGGATAAAAAGTCACACTTCATTGTCTGTCAGTCCTCTATCTAAGAGCATTGGGTATTAAGACAAAGCCAAAGGCCTACAGTTTTGAACATATAGCCATTTGACTGTATTGGTTCTGCCTGCTCAGGAATGGGGATATCTTTCCATTTGCTTATGGCCTTTTCTTTTTCAGAGTGCCATAGTTTTCATCGTAGAGGTCTGTCACTTCTTTGGTTAGGTTAATCCTCACCTACTTTTTTCATGATGCTATTGTGAAAGGTATTATTTCCCTGCTTTCCTTTTTGGTGAGTTTATTACTAGTGTATAGGAATGCTACTGAGTTTTGTGTGTTGACTTTGTACCTTGCTATGTTACACAGCTTAAGCCTCTTCTGGTGGAGTTTTTGAGGGTCTTCCATGTAGAAGTTCATGTTATACATTTGCAGACCAAGGGGAGAAGGTTCAAAAGGAAATCAGTCCTGCCATCATCACCCTGATCTTGTACGTCTAGCACCTGGAACTCTGAGAAAATTAATTTCTGTTGCTGAAGCTCCTGGTCGTTGGTTCTCTTCTCTAGCAGCCTTAACTGATTAATGGTCACATAATTTAATTTAAAACTGGGCTTTAATAGATATTTCTCCAAAGAAGATATATAGTTAGCCAATAAGAATATGAATAAATTCTCAAAATCATTAGTCATTGGGAAAATGCAGATCAAAACCACAGTGAGATGCCACTTCATACCCAGAAGCTGAGTATAATAAAAAAATACAGACAATATCAAGCATTGCCAAGGATGTGGAAAAGCTGAAACACTTTTATAGTGCCTGTGAGAATGTAAGGTGGTACAGAAAAGAACTGAGATGGCTTCAAAACATTGAACTTATTGTACATCCTAGCAATTTTACTCTCGGGTATATGCCCAAAAGAGTTGGAAATGTATCTACACAAAAACTTACTGGCAAAAAGTTCATAGAAGAAATATTCACAGAAGCTAGAAAGTGGAAACAACTCAATGGTCATGAACTGTTAAGTAGATAAAGAAGCCATGTGGTATATCCATACCATGGGGAGTTATCCATAAAAAGAAGGAAATGTGATTCATGTGGCAACCCTACTGCCCTTGAAGACATTTGGAGTGAGAGAAGCTGGACACAAAGGCCCACATAGTGTATGATTCATTCATATAAAATGTCCAGAAAAAACTAGAGATACAGTGGTTGCTGGGTCCTAGGGGAGAGGAGGATGGGAAATGACTACAGAGGGGAATATGCCCGGCTTTCCCAGTGATGAAAATGTCCTGCAATTAGGCAGCAGTCATAGTTGCACAACTTCATGAACATGCTGAAATGCCTTAGAGTATACACTTTAAAGGATAATTTGGGTTGAACTCAGGACCCTGTGCTTGCCAGGTAGGCGCTTACTCTACTGAGCTATCTCTCTGGCCCCCCAGGATAAATTTTATAGCACATGGTATGTCAGCTAAGAAAAGATAGAGCCAGATCAGTGTTCTGGATGCTGAATTTAAGTAAAGATGAATTTAATTGTGTTAGGCAATCTTAATACACTAGGTTGTGAATAAAGGGCTTGTTTTTGCCTGTGAAACACAAGTGACGTAGCTGTTTCTATTGCTCATGTTCATGAAGGTAAAACAAAAGTCCTTCTTACATTGGCTCATGGGCATTCTTTAGAGTGAGCGAATAGTACATTTTTGAAGTTGAAGTTGCCTGCTCCTTTTCTGAGCCTGCCTTACTCCAGTGCGAATCACTGTGCCAGTAGTCCTATGAAAGTGACAGTCTTATTTTTTGACATTACCCACAAATAGTTCTAAAAACTTGTACGTAGCAAATGATGACTCCACTCCTGCTTGAAGTGTGTCCAGTGCTGGTGGGATCAGCTTCACCCAGGAGCTTTTTAGAGATGTGGACACTCCAGACATACTGAGTCAGAAACTGTTTTTATAAGCTCTTCAAATGACTCATGGAGGCTAAAGTTTGAAGTTTACTAATCTGGAGAAATTAAAACTAGAAAGGACCAAAAATTTATCTTAACTTTTTGTAATAATTATTTTAGTACCTTACATGTGCTACTTAAGCATACTGTCTCTCCCAACACCCATACAAACTGGTGACCTCGGATACACTTGTCACTCAGATTGATTCACTACAAAATGGATCCAAGGCTTTATACTTATTCTCCCAACTTTAAGGATTATTTGTAATTATCTCCCTGAAAATATTTTTTTAAAGTTTTGATTTAAAAGGATATAGAAGGTCCCTGAAACAAAGACCACACAAGTTTTCCAAAATTGAGGATATGGATCTCAGCTCGAATGCATTTATTTATTATTATCTCCAAAATAATTTCTGTTGGCATAATTTCTTAAAACCATATCAATATTAGGCTCAGAACTGAATCACAACCAAGCAATTCACAAAAACACTTTAAGCAACAAAACATGCTTAATATTTCTTTGAAAAAGGTCTTGAATATGTGAACAGAGTCACTGGGTATCACACAAAACTGTTGGGAGGTGACTCTTACGTGCCTAAGTTCTGCACATTTACATTGTTAAACTCGACACACATGAAAGGCAAATTTAACCACATCTGAGATCCTTCTTTATCTCAAAGTATATGTCTATGGTAGTTTGTCTTTATATTAAATTTAAAAGATATTCTCGGTTACTCCTTAGGCAAACAGAAGTATGCACACTTTCATGGAGGAAAAAAGATGCTTTGATTTTTCATTTTTAGATTATACACTTCAATTATGAATGAGTAAAGACTTAAAAATTGTGATATTTTGAAAAGTAGCAATTAGTAGGGGCAGTAGTTGAAAATATTTAAGACTTGAAATCATCGTTTTCTGGATAAATAAATGTGATGCCACTGAATTTTTTTACTATTAGACATAGCTTGGAAAGAACTATATTTTGAACTATAGTTTTCACATCTTAAATGGCATTTTTTCTTTATTCTTTTGATGATATTAAACTCCTTAAAGTTACATCTATTTTATAGATATTTGTTTCACTAATTAGTTTTTAGTTTCAACACCTCTGCCTGAACTTGTATATGAAAAATAAAGCTAACATCTGCAACTTCAGCTGGTTACACTGGGAGGAAAGGGGTTACCGTAACTTTATTATACCTTGTATTAACAACAAACCTTCTCACAGAGAAGAAAATACTTTAAATACCTTAAATATTTACAACAATAAAAATTCACATTTCATGCTTTAGTGAGACACTTAGATCAGCCATAAGGTAGTCCTCAGAGTCTGTTGGACAGAGCCCTTCCAGTAGCTGAGCCTCTTCGGGGTGCTGGGTGTACAGCTTTTGATGTTAGGAAAAGAGCATGCTCCTGCCATTTTCCTATCCAGGAGAAAACCCAATGGTAGCTCTTCCCACCCATCCAACCACTTGTGCCTGCAATCCTGTGTCATGGCGGGGTGTCTACTGTGCTGCAGGCCTTGGGACTCACGTGAAGTAACTTGAGTGTTTTCAAAATGCTCAGGAGTGCCTGTGTTCTCTAAGGTGAGCCTCAAGATGAAGATGAAGGTGGCGCTTCTGAGCACAGCTAAATGCTTCACTTGTGTGTCTATTGCACAGGATTTTGTAAGGTTCCAGAAACAGTGCAGTATTTTTTTTTTTTTTTCTTTGACTACTATATACACTTTTCAGAGAAGTTCCGTGTTTCACAGGGGAATGTGACTTGCAGGGAGCTCCCCTTAGGGGCAGGCCCATCCCTGTTCCTCCCACTGACCTCATCTACCAATAAGACAGTCTCGGAGTCGGGGCCCTGTGAGGAGTCTGAAGTCTCTGATATTCGCAAAGTTCTCAGTGACGTGCTTTCTTCTTGGGTCTGGCCCATGCTGGGCACACCTGGAAGCAAATTCCTGCCTCCAAGACTGTTTTCACTTAGTTCGGGCAGGTAAAGGAGGGTCTGAGAGGTGCTGCTGATCTCCTTCAGCTCCGGAGAGAAGAAAGAGCGCGAGTGGTGGGACATAGCTGAGGATGTCCTTCGACTCTCAGAGCAGTGCTGTCCTGCACGGTCTCTGCGGGACCCACCAATGCGGCAGAAGAGGCATTTGATCTTCTCAATTGCTTTACTGAGCACTGTTTTTCTCAGAAGTATGTATATCCAGGGGTCCAGGATGGGGTTGACAGAAGCGATGCGGATGGCCTGTAAGTCTGGGTTTCTGCTGATTTCTCGCACCACACTTGGTTGATATAACTGGTTGATGAACACTCGTACCTGCACAAATGAGATGCCCACATTCAGATTTTATAATTAAGAATTGGGAAAACACTTCAGTGTTACATCTACATTCACAACAGTCTGGAGCTGCTCTCTTTTCTGATAATGAATGCCAAAGAAAGCAACTTATACATCTCTGGAAAACCAGTAACTGCAAAAATGTGATTGTATGTGTGCTTTTAGTTAGTAGGCATTTTTAAGCATTTTAATATCTTAGACCAAAGACAATGTACAAAAATGCAGTATGTTGATAGATAACCGAAGAATAATGTATCCTGAGAAGCATGTTACTAATTTTGCCTCTCTGAGTGCTTTTAAGTTTATATATAAAATATCTTTTCTGCTAAAGTCACTAGATTTTCCTTTTTTCAACAGCCATTTTATGTTTTATAAATGATACTCTTTTTGTATGTCAACTAACCATCTAATTATTACAAAAGGCTGAGGTTCTTTTTAGAGTCTCAAGAAAATATACTGTAATTTTTTGAACCGACACCAGGATCTCCTATTATCCAGAATGACTTGGAGTATTTTCTTTTTCTCCATGACTTGCTTTCCTAGGTATAATAATCGTCTAATGTTATTAACTGCTCCTTTAGCCAAAACCTCCAGTCCTTTCTCTCTAGCTGCATTTCACACTTGAAGATTACATTAGAGCAGCCACCAAGTAGCTTTGTGCCTGCTGTACCTTTCCAGTCTGTTTCTGCGCCATCCTATAAATAAGATTATTTCTAAAATATATGTCTGATTAAGCTGCTCAGCTGCTGAAACTTCCACAAGCTCTCTGTTGCTGACAGACTGTAGTTGTGTTCATCTTTCAAGATAGCACTCAACTGCCATTCATACATTCCATTGTGAATCTCCAAGCAGAATCAACTCTTCCTTTATTGAATAATAAATTTAATAAATTGCATTAAATCTCCTAAACTTCTTAAAAGCAGAGAGTAGTACCTAGTCAGGAGGAGAGGATTGTAGGTCAACTATTACTGCAACTATTACTGATGATATGAAATGGGAGGGCTGTGCACAAGGTCGTATGCCAAGACTGGGAGGTCAAGCATGAGATGATTCTTCCTGAGGAGAGGAAGCTTGCAGTGAGTGAGCTTTGATGAGTAAATGTGAGTTCGCTACAGTTAGAAGGAAGGTAGTGAGTGACATTGTAAGAGGGATAGTTCCCTGCACAAAGTCATAGAGGAATGACATATCTCAACTTCAAGACAGGTCACTTGAGTTTTTCAAAAGGCATGAATTGGTGTAAACTTAAGGAAGACAAGCATTTTATTCTTTGGAGGAAAAAATACTTGTTAAATATAGACTCAAGTATTGCTGCCTAAATTTTCTAATTACACTAAAATTATTTGTATTAAAATCTTACCTATAACTCAGGTAAAAGAATGGTTTTAAGATCTTGCCATCTGTCTTTAGTAATTACTTAGTAGTTATTACTTGCCTTTGCTAATTAAACTTAGGGAGAAGTCAGAGGTAAGACTCACAGCCAGGGAAGACAAATAAAAATCATAAAAAAGAAAAGGAAGAGGTCACAAAAGCAAAGCTGGAGCTTGTATTTGTCAACAGGAAACAAACATTTCTCACAAGACTCAAGGACATTGCTACCTTACAATACAGCACGTAATTATATTAATGATTTATGATATATCAATGTTACAGTTTGTGTTTGGATGTTCCCCCAAAGCCTTGTGTGCTCATAAGTGGTCTTTTTCGGAGGTGGCTGGATCTGGTGACACTGGGATTGATTAATGCTGCAATGGCATTAGCATTGAGGATGTGAATCCTACCACCACAAGTACCCTAGATAAACTATAAGGGACAGACAGAGCTGTGGCTGTCCCTTGTTGCTGTGGTACCTACCGTCTGCCTGCTCATGATTCTCCTCTGTGATGCCTGTCTGCTGCCCCACCCTGTCTTGGGGGAGCTGATTATACACTGAAACCTCCTCAAACCGTGAGCTAAATAAACCTTTCCTCCCTTTTAACTTTGCTTGTCAGGTGTTTTGTCTCGGCACTGGGAAAAGCAAATAAGACAATAAATTACCAGGAAAACGTTTAGATATTTTAGAAAACTTTAAAACAATGTGGGATAAGAGAAGAAAGTTTGAAATATTTGAATGAAGTGTCATTACTCTGCAACATTCAGTTTATATGAAACATTCCTGGATGATGTTGGGTAAATGACATTTCCTATCTCTTCCTTAGGTAGAATTTAGGGATTAACAGCTACACTGATTCTTAATCAAGAAAATTTTGGTTTTCAGTTGTTTTTACTTTGTTGTTCTTCATTTCTTTTGTTTTGGTCACTTGAGTTTGTTGAAAAATATAACCTAAACTTGGCATGAAAATCTGAACTGCAGGTAGGCATGGTTGCAAACCTATAGTCCACCACTCTGAGAGATGGAGGCAGGTTGGTTGCAAAGTCTAGGCAATTGGCCAACTTACTAAAACCCTTTCTCAAAGGTGTGTCTGGGAATGTGGCTCCTCAGTGTGAAGGCTGTGGGTTCAATCCCCAGCAAAAACAAACAGTAAAAAAAAACCAACCAGCCAAACAAAAAACCTCTCATACTTTCTTTTTCCTGATGCTATTTATAGTTTATTCATTCCACTGACAGTGAATATATTCCCAATTTTTCTCTAGGACATTGTTCCACTAGGAATATTAATACTATATGGCATATTAATAATTACTCTTCTAAAATCCAAGAAATTCTGAATTTTGAATCTAGCCCCATCAGCCTCTAAAAAAAATTAGGTAAGGATTTTGGCACTATAAATCTCATAGAATAAAGTGGTTAAAAGGCTCTGAGAGAAATAAAATTTCTGTCTGTGTGGGGGAGGTACCGATAATTGAACTCAAGACTGAACATGCTAGGCAAGCATTCTTTGAGTTTCATCTCAGCCTCCCCCCCCCTTTTTTTTTCCTTTTTGGAACAGGGTCTTGCTAACTTGCCCACACTGGCCTCAAACTTCCATCCTCCTGTCTGCTTCAGTCTCTTGGAAATTAATGTCTTGATCTTGGGAAGAGAGCTAAAGTACGTACTAGAATTACCAGCAGTCTATGAAGTTTGTCTTAAAATAATACGTTTGAAATAGAGATGGAATGAATAATAATATCAAGACAAAAATGGTTGACTTTACAAATCTACCCAAGAAACTAGAAAAATAAGGTATCTTAGGCTTCTTTTTTCTTTTTCAGAAATCGTTTTGAGGTTCTCAGTATTTTGTTGAGGAACTAAGTTCTCTCAAGGATTTTCCCAGTTGTGTTTTTTACTGAGATCTGGAGGCTTTCAAAAACTTTCTAGGTCTCTGCTTTTGATGGCAGAGTCTGGTCTGCCTAGGTTCCAAAGGAACACCAT